AGCAAAGGCACTTCCAAACAAGATATTCTGCATCTAGGAACATACTTTTCATTCTGAAATCAGATGCCTGGTACAACAGTTGTGATTGTATGAACACTGCCCAAATCATTTCTTCCTGCTGTAAAATACAGACACAGTGCTCATTTTAGTATCAGCTTTCTGAAGAGATTTAAGTAACTACATAAGAGGAGAATCACCACATAAAATTCTGAGCCCCATTACAAGCAAGTTATGCTAGCAGTTCTACCGAGATCACTAGCACACTCTCCTGCAAACATTATATTCTGCCTTCTATGATGAGGCATGTTCCAGTGTAACACAAGCCTGTGACTCTCCAGCTCTACCACTCAACACCTTTCTGTTATTAACATACACAAACTCAAGGTTTAAGTGAAACGTCAGTAATATGGCCAATAAATGCTCAATTAGCAAACACACCACTTCTGTGATCTCTGATCTGGCTTGCATAGCTTCTGCCTGTGCAGGGTAGGAGTGTTAAAATAAACACTAGTGATGTTATCACACTGCCAGCATTGCACCGTTTCTTTCAGTACTCCTCTTGAATTACAGAATCTTTCAACAAGTACGCCTTCAAAAATGCATAAGACCAATGCAAACCAAAACTAGAAATACTTTATCTCATTAAAATTCACATAAATCTTCACATATAGGTAGGAGTACAAAGCAGTGTCAAAATCTATCCCCTTCCAATGTACTTGTATCTAGGCTTTATTCCTGGCTATGCCACTGACCCAATCTGACCTTTAAAATTTTCAGGGTACACTCTCATTATAGATTTCAGTCAGAGCTACTAGACCAGGGGGTTTCCATCAGAAATAGTACATCTCACTGCACAGCCACTTTGATACGCAGCATACCCACAGGATAACAACTGAAGAATCCTGATGTGCACAAGCATCCCCATCTTCCTTTTACTCACAGTTGTAAAATCGAGGATGATAAAAGAGTTCATAAAAGATAAGTAGCTCAGGATGTGCAAAACACTTTCTGGGATACAATGAATCATAGAAAGACAAATTAGTGTGTGCATGATTTCTTCAGTAAACTCACAGCTAACACTGGAAGTACAGCTTATGGCAGGCAAAAGCTGATTTCAGAAGAATTTATACGGGTTACTCTTCAAACAACTGTCACAGCTAGTCTCAATTCAGATGGTAGTAGTATCCCTATAAGCTTCTAAATCTACTCTACTTACTCAGCTCTGTATACTGACAAACTACAAAGCACAAGCTTTACAATTATTTTTTATATTATGATCATCCACACAAAAGGATTAACTGAAGCATAAAAAAAGTATTTGTAAATTCAGGACAACAGGAGATGTCTGTCATGCAGTCAAAGCTCCAATCTGTGTATTATTTTTAGAGCACTACATCCCTAAGCCTTACCTCCATCAAAAGCGTTTCTCTAAAGCTATGCAGCCATCCCACTCTTTTGAACTACTTGGAACAACGTCACTGGCTGAGGTTTGTCAGAGAGCTGTGTTTGTTCCAGCTTCAGAAAGCTTCAAGTACCAATACCTCTCTGATTCTGCGCTCCCAAAGAGCATCACATTGCCTTTTCAGTAAAAGACACCAGCTAACAAACCCCTCAACTCAAGCTTCTGGGTTTTTTGTACGTTTCCTAATACACAGTCACATTTTTATCTTACAGAATGAGATCTTTTAAAACAATTTCCAGTTAAAAAAATGTCAAAACAAATCTTTTTTCCTGCACTTGATTCTTACTAATTGATATTTCTCCACTAAGCCAACTTCTTTAGGCAAACTTTAAAATGCATGATGGGAGATAAAAAAAATTCCTATTTTAAGCTTAGTTTCATCAAAGAAAGAAGCTACCACCTATCCAGAAATAAACCAAAGCCCAGTTGTTTAAAAAAAAAAAAAAAAAGTCCAAAAAGCTCCAAGACTTTTTCAGCAATTTCAGCAATTCTGTTAGGACTTGTGGTTTTTTTTCCCCTGCTTTTTTTGGTTTTAATTTGATCATCTGTTGACCACTAGTTTCACGTGTAAGAAATGAGCTTCTCTCCTGCTAGCATTAAATTCTTTGAAGATTACATTTCAAGACAACTAAATTTAAAAAGCCAACATTTGTCACACATGCCAACATTTATAACACAAAGCCTTCCATTTACTATTTAAAGTTTCTTAACTGCTTATATGAACGAAATTGCTCATTTTCTTTTTAGGAAAAAGTTAAATACATCACTATCTACCACATTACATAGTCCAGCAACAATGCAGGAATTAACAGACTTCAAGACTTTCTAATTGCAACTGTGATATGGCTACTGAAATTAAAGCAAGTCACAACGCCATCCTTGCAGACAAAGGATTTAAAAATCTCTAATGTGAATTTATGTTTGGATAACAGAGACTATGGAACTACAGTTGTACCCCTCCCAACATCTAAATTAATCTACTGGTTCTTTTAATCTAAAGCAGCCAGAGCAAGCAGGGTTCACAATCTGAACCTTTTTTTTTTTTTTTTAAATAGGAGTAAAAGGTTTGGAATACTCTAGCACATGCTCTGAGATCAGTTTAAGACACTGCTTGAAAGAATAACCTCTTTAAAAGGGTAAGAAAAAACTCATCTCAATTTTCTCCTAAACATACCCAAGATGAACACAGAAGTTGTCTGGACTTTACAGAACAATTCTATTATTTCAACAAGTTAGTTGAACATGATTTTCCTTTATCAATATAGGTATCTAAACTTTTTCTTGAACTAAGCAGTTCCGTTATAACGGCAGACTAAGAACACAACGACAAAAAAATTACTCTGACCATATATATATAATTAAGCTAAGAACACTTTTGTTAACGGATTACCTTGAGGCAGAAACAGGTTACCGGCCTTCAAGACATAAGAAAGAAACAAGACTCTTTTCCCAATAAGAAATCTAACTATACAAGTAGGACCTTCCCTGAGAGGAAACATAGTTGTCCACTGAGTAAAAGAAAACCCGTGTAGAGACAGTTCACAACTCCCTTAATGAAGCCTATATGGCTAGGAGCTTTTTTGTTTAAAGTGTGGCTAAACATTGCATCAGAGTTTTCAAGCACTTTTTAGACTGCTTTGTCTCCTAAAAACAAAAGTGTGAGGACACAAACAAAATTTGCTGCAGGATTGTCTGAACCCAGTAACACAAGTGTCAGCACCAGATCTGCAACTGGTTCTGTACAGAGATGTCTGGGCTCCCCATTCCTCATCCAACTAGAATCAACTGAGACAACCCAGAACTTCCAAGGTTATTTCAAATTTTTTATTTTTTTTAAAATAGACTATTTAAACAATTTACAGGAAATGTATTAAAGTAATACATCATGTACACAATTAACTCTAACAACAGCTGCTGTTCAGTTTTCAATATTTGCAGTTTGCTGTTCAAATTGTCTAGCATTTCTCAAACAGTGAGTCAGAGAGTTCAAAGGAGGTCAAAGTTTAAGAAGCTTAGAACTTAGCATACAGAAATATATTCTCCTAATACTTACGTTCTAATAAAAGTTATCTTTTAAGAATGTTTGAAAACAAAATAAACAGATGATGGAACAAGGTATAGCTAAAATAATCACTATGAAAAACACCCTTAAAGACATAACCAATGCAAAAATGAAAAGGCTCATGGGCTTTAATTTAACACAACTCCAGCCGGTCACAGAAAATCGATTTCAAGAATAAGGCATCATGATCTTTCAGAAATCACATCCAAGGATCAGTTTGAAAAGTAAAGCAAGTAAGCCTTCCTGGGAAAAGCACCGATTAGCAGCAGAATACATACAGAAACGTACAGCACACTGAACCCCTGGTATGTGAGGACTAACTCCACACCTGACACTGCTTGTTTTCACAAAGGCGGCAAATGACTATTATTCACAGCAGCGGGAATTACCCTCCTAAAAGCTGTTACCTGTCTTTCCCTTAACGCAACACTGCGTGCTGCCGGCACATCAACACATTCTTATTTTTCCGAAGGGATTTTTTCCCTCAAAGGCACCATGTCCGCTTTTCCCTCCCGCTTCGCGTGCCCCCGACCACCAGCTCCCAGCATCCCGACCAGGGCGCTCTCCCCGCCGGAGCCGGGACAGAAAAAGCCTCCCCAGGCGGGGCAGCAGGAGAGGCCCGAGAGCCCCGGAAAGTGGCATCGGCGGGGCTGCGGGCGGCTCTTCTCCCCGAGACCCTCGAGCGGCAGGGCACCCGCGCCTCCGGGAGGCCTCGGAGCAGCCTCCTCTCCGCCGCGAGAGCGAGGGCCGGCGGCGCGGCCGGGACTCACCAGAGCAGGGCGCAGAGAAAAAGGCAGGAGCCCAGGGCCAGGAGCCGGCGGGGCGGCTCCCT